CCGTCAAGTGTGGCTGACCCCGGTAAGTGTCCTGTGTGGAGTTTTTGACAGGCAATTCCTGTTGCCCTAGGAAGCCACTGTCCTTTGTTCTGTTGGCCTAGGTTTCTGGTTGATATCAACTTGGAAAGCAGGGGTTAATAAAGCAAGCCTATTCTCTTCCTTATTGGGTTTGATCAATGTTCCCATGGCTTTTGTTCCCATGGCCATGGAGGGCTGGGTGATGGCTCATCGTTACAACTGTGTGAGCTTCAGGTTGGAAGGCGACATCGCAAGTTTTCCACCGGAAGCAGGCAGTCCTCCGTAGTGGAATGAATGAATCGAATCTCAGGTCAGCAACACCTGGCTGTGTGGGAGATAGCAGCTGATCTGACTTCAGCGACACTTGTGGCCAGCTGCGTTCCAGCCACACAAACCATTCAAATATGTCCTCTCCTGGACCTGGACGTGTTCGTACTCCTGCCCCCTGCCCTCACAGCCATGCTGCCCCAGCCCTCAGCGGGCCCTCACTGCCTGCCAAGGATCCTAGTGTGTTCCTCTACTGCTGGAACGTGAATGCTGCTGGTGGCAGAGGGGATGCTCTCTGTATCACCAGGTGCACCCTTTGCAGTCCTGGATAAAGTGTGGCTGTCACCTGACAAGCGGGCTGCATCATCCCTCTGCTGTCCTCAGACCCCTGGGCAGGTGACTGGTGTCGAGCTGGGTTTGCTGAGCCCCCAGAAGCCAGCAAATGACCACATGTGGTTGCTCTGTATTCTGGGGTCTTGGAGACCCATCCTGGGAGCAGGTTGTATTGGCTTTCTGTCTGCCTCAGCTGCTGTGCTACTTGTTGTTGGGACGTTTGGCTTACAGACTTGCTGGGACCACCTTCCTTCATCTCCAGGGCCGGACCCCATGCTGGAGGAAAGAAGGACTCAGTAGTCACGGTGCAGTGTGTGGCTTTTCCTTTCTTTTCTTTTTCTGTTTTTTACATTTTATTATTATTATCATCATTTTATGATACCGTTCCATAGGTTCCTGGTATTTCCCTTATCCCAGCTCCAATTCATCCCCCGCCCCCCGCACCTAGTTCCTCTATATCATTACTATAGTATAGTTCTTCACACACAGTCATATGTCCATCATTGTGGGCATGGACAATGGCAGAGAGTCCAGCATCCTATTGTCAAGATGTAGTAAACAGTTTCATTGCAAGTCCATCTTTGTCTGGAAGTAGAAATGCATATTGCATTGTATCCTCACATCTGGATGTTAGTCTCCGTTTCACAGCTACTGTACATCCCCTCAAATGAAAAGTCGTGATACAAAATCATCAGCAAAAAGAAAAATAGAAATCTATAATGAAATGAAGTTAAATGACATGTTACTAGATATGACAGTCTCCATTACACAGCTACTATACATCCCCTTAAATGAAAAGTCACAAAACAGAATCAACATCAGGAAGAAAAAAGAAATTAACAACACCATGAAGTTAAATAACATGCTACTAAATGATTAATGTGCAGCTGAAGAAGCGAAAATCAAGAACCTTCTTGAAGAAAATGATGCTACTGTTTGATCTATGAATCATTGAATGATTTAATGAGAAGAAAGTGTTTTGAAGAAGTGAAAATAACCAAAAACATCAAAACTCATGCAACGGAGTTTCCGCTGGGTTTTGTTGGTGAAGTGTGTCTCTTCTAGACAATAAATAGATGGGTTTTGTTTTTTAAACCAGTCTACTAATCTATGATGTTTGATTGAGCTTAAGCCATTTACATACAGAGTTTAATATGTATGGGTGGTACTTTGGTCCTGTCATTTTAGGAATGGGTTGTTCATTGGTTTAGTCTTCTGGTGTTATTTTATGGGATGTTCTTTGCATTTGCCTTTGGTTTTGGTAGGCACTATTTCTCTTCTCTGTCAAGAGAACATCTTGAAGTATCATTTGTAGGGCAGGTTTGGAAGAGGCAAATTCTTTTAACTTTTCTTGACTGTGGAAGAACGTTATTTCATTTTCAAAGACAAAAGAAAGCTTTGCTGGATATGTTACTCTAGGCCGACAATTTTTTTCTTTTAGAATCTGGAATATGTCACTCCGTTCTCTTCTTGCCTGTAGAGTTTCCTGTGAGAGATCTCCTGTGAGTTTAATTGGCATTCCTTTATATGTCAGTTGATTTTTTTCACATGCACATTTAAGGATCATTTCCTTATGTTCGATTGAAGAGAGCTTGATAATCATGTGTCTTGGTGATGATCACTTTTGGTCATGCCTGCTGGGAGTTCTGTGCCCCTCCTGGATCTTGTTTCCCAATTCTTTCTCCAGATTAGGGAAATTTTCCCTTATTATTTCATTAAATACATTTGTAAAAGCAGTTTCTCTTTCTGCACCTTCTGGGACACTCATAACTCTTATATTTGGCCTCTTAGTAGTGTCTTTCAATTCTTGAATACTTTATTTGGCCTGATCCAGCTCTGCTTCCAGCTTTTTGTTTGCTTCCCCCTGATGACAGGAAATACCTTCCAGTTCTGACATTCTTTCTTCTGCTTGCTTCATTCTATTTTGGAGTCTCTCCACTGTACTTTTAATTTGCTCTACTGTGTTGTTAATTTCTGATATATCAGCCTTGATTTCCTTTATTGTTTCCTTAAATTCTTTGAACTCTTGTATGTGCTTCTCATTGTTGATTAGAAGCTTTAAAATGAGTTTTCTGAATTCTGTGTCCCCCATTTTCTTGATGTCTTCCTCAGTTAACTCTGAAGTTGGCATAGGGTTTTTCTCCTTTGCAGGGGAGTTTTCAGTAATATTCATTGTGCCTTTGTCTCTCTTTTTTTTTTTTTTTTTTTGCTCTTGGTCATTGTACTTCTGGTTAGCAGAGTCTTCTGCCTGGGGCAGGTTTCTAAGCTGTGTCACCCACAGGTATGTAGTTTGATTTTACTAGTTGCAGTTGGTACACAACTCTTTGCTTACAGTCAATTGTGCCACTCCCTCCAGCGAGTTCCAGGTCTGGGTTCTTATGTTAGATTTCCACAAACAACTCCGTAGCCCCAACTCCTGGCTCTCCACTGTCCACCTCCTGTGATACCGTGCTGAGGTTGCACCGTTATCTGTGCAAACTTTCTCCCACTTCTAGTTGGAGCAGGTCCCAGGATTAGGGAGACACCAGGTGTCCTATATAGCTAGGTTGTTGGTGGCGGTGATCTTGTTGGAACCTGTTGGACATTAGGTGCCACACAGACCTATTTTGACCGATATGATGCCACAGTCGGTATTATTTTCCTGCGGTACCAGTGCAATCCACAGAACTCAGTTAGTTCTCACAAGCTCAGCACATGCGCAGTTCACTGTTGTCCCCTGCAGTCCTAAAGCTTTTGCCACAGTGTCCAAAATGGTGCCTCACATACCACTACTAGAGTTCTTGATCTGCTGGCCGTCAGGTCTGAGGGATACCCAGACCTGTCTTGGGTGGAACCTGTGGAATGCCACGATACTGCAGTTCACTGAGTCAGAAATGAGTTCACTCCCAGCTCAGTGTATGCTCAGTCCTTTTCCTGCCTTTGCCTCTTAAGCAAAATGGCGCCCAGTTTGGCTCTAGGGGGCTGCCTGGGCTGTGAAATCCACCCTGTTCTCATACTGCCTGTCTGGGATCTGCTGCTCTCTCTGCTCTTGGTCAGATCAAACAAACCAGCAGGACTGACAGTTCTTTATGTGGGTTCACCTCCCAAGCTCCCAGTGAAAGTCCTTCCCACCTGGTTGCTGGTGGAGTTCTGATTGCTGTTAGCTGAATCTCGCTGGAGTATCAGTCACTGCAACACCACACCGTGTGCCCGCTGCTTCCCTGTGTCTGTCAGTCTCCAGGTGCCCCTCTGCTGTTGTTCTGTCCTTTACTATTTCCTGGAATGTGTCCTCTCTGCTTCATCCTAATTAAATGTTTTTCCGTCCGTTTAATAGTGTCCTTACCCTATTCCGCCATCTTGATTTTCCCGTGGCTTTGCTTTCCTAAGCCAGCAGAGCTGCACAGGCACTCTTGCCCTATGTGTCTCCTCATGGTCCCTGAGCTAAAGCCTGACACGCGTGTGGGTCTGCCCTGTTCTTCCCATGGCCTCGGACTTGTATCAGCAGCTCTGTGACTGCTCCTCATGCCTCTTGCAGTATCTAGGGCCTGGCAGAGAGGCCTAGAGGAACTACATCAGAGCATCCTGTGGTGGTGGTAGGGGCAGGGTGGGTTTGCCCTCAGGACTGTGGATTGCCCGTGAGGAAAGAAGCCAGCCCAGGTCCCTGTGCTAGACAGGAGGGCATGGCATGTAGGGGATTTAGGTCCCCATCCCTGGCTCTAAGGACACCAACTGAGGATCTTGCTGGATTGGCCTGTCCCAGGAGAGCAGCCAAAAGCAAAACTGCAGGGTTTGGAGCAGGAGTGAGAGGGTTGCGCAGAACAGGAGGCTGGTTGCTTAGCAACAAGCCCAGCCTGGCCTTCCCCCAGTTTTGCTCACCCCTCTGTCTGCCACAGGCCCCTCAGGGCTATTCTTCAGACGAGCTGGGCATGGCTCCACCCCTGGGCCTTTGACCCTGTCATTTCCACTGTCACCCAGTTCTTCGTACCACATTCATGACTGTGGCCTCAACTCAGATGTTTGGGGGCCTTGCTCTGGTCGTCTCACCGGAAGCAATGCCGGCTCTCCTCCCCCTCTCTGTTCTGTCTATGCCTCCTACAGGCCAAGGAGCCCTTGTCCACGGTGTGGACAATGGACACATGTGAGTATCCCATCATCTGTATCTGGGTTTGAGTGAGGTCATTTCGTTTGGTGACTCTCAAAGTTGGGGCTCTCCCCAAGCAGCTCTGGAGAGGGCTGTGAGGTTCCTTCCCAGCTCCCAGGCAAGGCTGCAGCCACATACGCTGAGAGCTTTCATGAGGTCAATGACCCAGGGTGTCTGGAGCAGGTAAGCAGAGTCGCAGGGAGGTGGGCACTATGGGTAACGCATAGTCTCTCTGTTCCCAGGTGAGCAGGAACATGCGGAGATGGAAGGATGCAGGAAGGGCGTCCTTGCCGTGCTGATCATCCTGACTGGACTGGCAGGTAGTGTCACTGGGATGCGCAGATGTTCATGGCTTGTGCAGCAGCTGCAAGAAGGCCTTCCCTAAGGGCGTCCCACTGGGTTCCCTTCCTGTGTAGCTCTTCTTTGGGATCCAGGCCCGCTGTGTCCACTCCTCTCCTGGTAGTGTCTCCAGTGCCTCTGATCTCTCTCTGCCTCCCTTTGGACTGTCACAGTTCCTGGGCGACTCCCTTTCCATTGCACCTGCTGCAGTGTCCCCTGCTCTGAGCTTTCATACTTTCAATTTCTATTTGATCCACAAGAAGGGACCAGCTTGGATGCCACCTCTTCCGTCTTGGCTCTTTGTACCTTCAGGCTGGGCACCCCAGCTCCCATGCACGTGATACTCGCCTACACATACAGCAACACACCTTTGTTTCCCCTAAGGGAATGGGGAACGTACTGGAATGGGCTCCAGGTGTCTGAGGCTGGGCATCTCCAAGTCTCTGCTCTGCAGGAGACGGAGTCTGGGGATTGTGGGGTCCTTGGGCGAATGGGAGTCCGTCCAGCAGCTGTGGCTTAACCAGATCCCATTTGGTTTCTGCTGCTTCAGGGCTGTCGCTTTTGTATTTCCATCTTGGTTATAAACCCTTCTCTGTCGCTCATTGCTGTGATCCGAAGGCATGGTGCTGGGGAACAGTGGGCATGCAGAGTGGCACTATGTCCTGAAGGCTGAAGACTGAGCATCTTGGGGTGGTCGGTGCTGTGACTGAGCTTTTCTAAGGATTTATTTGCTTATTTGAAAGGCAAAGTTTCAGAGGTGCTGGGGAGAGACAGAGAGAGAGAGAGAGAGAGAGAGAGAGAGAAACAGAGGGTGATCTTCCTCTTTCATTGTTGGTTTACTCTCGTAGTGGCTACAATAGCTGGGACTTGACTAAGCTGAAGTCTGTGGTCCAGAACTCCGTTCATTTCCTTAACATAGGAGGCAAGGGCCCAAGATCTTGGGTCAGCTTCCTTTTCAGATGCGTTATCAGGGAGCTGGATCTAAACCGGAGCAATCAGGACTCAAATTGAGGCTCCTGTGGGATGCTGGAAGCCCAGGCAACAACCTAACCTGCTGCCTGCAATGCCACTTCCTGCCTTGTGACCTCTGGATGCTGTGTTTGCATGTTATGTGTGTGAGTGTCAAGCCAGGATGTTGATATGTTCGGGGGCCTGGTGTGGTGGCACGAGGTGCAAGTGGGCAGCAGGAGCTCATGGGACTTGGAGGACTAGTCCCTGGCAGTGTGTTTGGTGCTTGGTGGGATGAGTCTGCATTTTAGGAATGGGATATTGGCTAATACTCTTCCAGAGGCTGGAAAGGCAGCTCAGTAACTCTGGGTCTAGTGTCTTTGTGACATTTTCCCCTGGAGAAGCTGAGCCTTCAGCACTGCATTGAGAGCAGGGTGGGGGAGCTGGAGAGCTCCCAGGAGGAAGAAGGTCTGTCCCTACGTTTGTGATGAACACAGATTAATAAATTCCTCATGGATGCTGAACCCCTCACGAAGTCTAGGGGCTGAAGCCATGATCATTTGTCCCCTGGGCTCTGAGTTGCCAAGGGCAACCTCCTGGTGAGCTTTTTTTCCTCTGTCCTCTCTCCCCCCTCCTAGCTCGTGCTACTGTGTGTCTTGTGGACCTTAACCATCTCAGGACGTGCTCATGGGCCACACATGGGCCACACAGGCGCAGGTCCTGGGATGCAGGCCTGAGTCTGACAGCATCATCCCACCAATGCAGACTGCAGGGTTCATTGGGAAAGCACCACTGCGAATGAGGCTCCAAAGATGCCTAGCTGCTCCGAGAGTCTGGGAGAGCATGGTTTAGTCAGAGCAGGTTTCTCTGCGAAGGCATCCTCCAGAGGGAGAGTGTTGCTGGCTCTGTGAAGTTACTGGGACCCCGAAGAGTTGGGGAGTAAAAGTTGAAACCAGTCCTGTGGCCACAGGGTGAAGATTGAAACAAGCTAAAGCTGGAGAGGAGGGTGATGTGGAATGAAGTCGAGTTAGCTGATTCTTATCACAAACAATGGAAATCTTTTAAAGATTTCTTTTGTTTATTCGAAAGGCAGAATTTCAGATAGAGAAGGAAAGGCAGAGAAACCTAGCATTCACTGATTTGCTCCCCAAGTGACCAAAGCCAGCAGCTAGGGACTCTACCTGGATCTCCCACACAGGGACCCAGGTACCTGGGCCATCTTCTGCTGCTTTCCATGGCACAGGAACAGGTAGCCTGGGTTGGAAGTGAAGCAGCTGGCTCATAGGAGAAGCTGGCGTCTCAGTCATCTGCTTAACCTGCATTGTTCTGGAAATCTCTTGAGCAGTCTGAGGCTTGGATGCGGAGGTGGGGTTGGTGAGGAGTAGCCAGTTGGATGTGTTTCGAGAGGGTCTGTCTGTAGCATGGAGAGAAGTTTGGGATGAGAGTGGTGGCATGGAGGGACCACCCCGGAATCTTCTCCCTTGCGTGTGTGCTGCTGTGTGTAGAAGCTGACGTGGGCCGTGATTTTACCCCCACTTCTCCTTTGGAGTTGTATCACCCAAGCAGTGGCCTCTACTTCCCTTCCTGCTTCTCATTGCAAAGTTTGTATCCGGTCTTGCATCCCAGCCACTACACATTGAAAGGGGCGAAGGGTGTTGAGAGAAGTGGGAGAAGAGGAGGCAGGAAAATGGGGTGGGGTGGTCAGCGTGGACCCTTGTGATACCCCTGCTCCCCAGAGAGCTGAGAAGAAGGCGCCGTGGATAAAGACGCTTGGATTTAGGGCCCCAGCACTGAAGCAGCTTGCAGGTGCACAGCCCTGGTACTGTCGTCAGCTTTGCGCAGCTGTTAGGATTAGAGCCACATAGCAGGAAGGGAGGAGGCCCAGACCCGGCTGCAGATGAGGGTCTGGGAGTCAGAGAGTGCTGGTGTGGGCGAGAAGATGCTGAGTGGACGGAGTGGACAAACTCTCCATGGACAGAGGAGGCATAGAGCTGGTGTGTGTGACAGCCATGGCTCATGGAGCTGGTGTGTGTGACAGCCATGGCTCATGGAGCTGGTGTGTGTGTGACAGCCATGGCTCATGGAGCTGGTGTGTGTGACAGCCATGGCTCATGGAGCTGGTGTGTGTGTGACAGCCATGGCTCATGGAGCTGGTGTGTGTGACAGCCATGGCTCATGGAGCTGGTGTGTGTGACAGCCATGGCTCATGGAAGCTGGGATGTTTGTGAGCTGGGGACTTTGCAATGTTCTGGGCTTGGTTTCCTTATTTGGTGTATAAGCTGAAAGAGAGAGAGAGATAAAGGGAAAGAGAATGTGAACAGAGAGCAGAGGGAAGAGGGAAGCTTTGGAATGTGGCAGTGATTGTGTGAGTAAAGGTCTTATTTACCAGCTGCTCCTGTTTGCTCTGTGTGGGGCCGGATTGCACACACCAGGGCCGATAAGACACAGCTGGGAGGAATGAGAGACACAAAGTTCAGAGTCACGGGGAGTCTCTGGGTGGGGCGTGTGCTGGACTACCATTGTCAGGGCGATTCAGTGCCACTGTTCAGTGTCAAGGATTCTTACCAGCCTGTGCCCTCCCTGTCTCCTGGCCCCTCCCCAGCTGCCCATACCCTATGCTTGCCTGGGGGTGCCTAAGGAGTGGCCACAGGGCGATACAGCCTCGGGCTCTGGCACAGGGTACGCAGGGAGCCGGGCAGTGCTGACTGTGCTGGATCTGCTGAGGGTGGGGCCATCCCATGCCAATGCCCTCAGCTGTCTGTCTCCCATGAGGCTTGATCCTCTCCTGGGGTGGAGACTGGCCATTCCTTCCCTTTACTTCTTTCCCTTAAAATCAGTTCTGGGTTCATGGGCGGGAAGAGTTGGCCTAGCAGCTGTGGCTTCCCTGGGAACTTGTTTGGATTTTCCCTCCTTGGGCATTTACTTAGTTTGAAAGGCAGAGTTACACACACACAGATAGAGGAGAGAGAGAAAAAAGACTGTCCATTTGTTGGCCCACTCCCCAACTGGCCTCACTTTCCAGGGCTGGGCCAGGTCTCCCAAGCGGGTCTCTTATGTGGGTGCAGGGGGAGGCATCCTCCACTGCTTTCCTGTGTGCTTTATCAGGGAGCTGGATCAAAAGTAGAGAGCCACTGGTCAAGCTGGTGCTCTGATAAGAAATGCCAGCCTTAACCCAGCCTTAACTCGCAGGCCATGGCTTAACCCAAAACACAATATATTCAATTTTTTAACAAAGACCCAGGGTTCTGGGCCTGAGAGACTGCCCTAGCCTGAGGACCCCAGGGGGAAACCCCAGTGAGTGTTCCCTCAGCAATTCCCTCCCTCCACTCCATCACGTCAGGCCATGAGGAAGGCCTGGCCCATCTATGCCCCATCACTGCGTGGGTCTCGCCCTTCCCTCACCTCTGCCTCTTGAGCCAAAGTTCCCTCCTCAGACTTGGCCCCTCACCTGGCTATGCATTTGTGTCATCCCTGTTCTGTGTGGCACTCTGCTGTCCCCCACATATTGTGTCCTCTTATGTACTCTGCCCTTGAGTGGGGTGAAGCTGGTGCACACACATGTGTGTTTGTGCATATGTGCTGATCTCTGTGTGGTACATATATGTGTATGTTTATGTATGTGTTAATACAGTAGCACACATGTATGCACGTTGCTGACATGGCGTATGCATGTTTACTCATGTATGCATGTGTGTGGACACGTGTGTTGATGTGTGTATTGCATGTGGGTATGTGTACATGCTGGCATGTGTTATATATGTACGTGTGTCTATCAGTGTGGGTTTCAGATACCTTTCGAGCTAGATTGTTTCAGAACCTGCCTTTCTACTTGATCTTACAAGATCACAAAGAAAGAGGGGAGCTGAAGTCACTTGGGCACACCTGCTGTGTATAGTGGCTAGCTGGTGACCGCATGGACCAGATGACACCAGAGGGATGCAGTAATGTCTGTGGTTGTATGGATGTATGGATGAAGGGCTGGTGGGAGACCGACAGAGAAGAAAGTGAGGTGTGTGGTTTGCCAGGAGGCTCGAAGCTGTAAATGCCGAGTGATGCTGAATGCAAAAGATCGTGAACTCAGGGTGGCCAAATCTGAGCAGGTCCTCACTCCCCATCGTGGCTTCAGATCCTGGGATGACATTGGTCACAGTGCCACCTTCTCCTACAGACCTTGGGAGAATCTGTCCCCTGCCTGTCCCCTGCCTGTCCCTGGGCTCCCTGGGCTTCCAGTGCTAACAGCATCCTTGGTGTTCTTTGGCGTGTAGCCACATAACTGCAGTCACTGCCTTGGCCGTTACATCACCTCCTTCTCTGTATGCTTCCATGCCTCAATCTCCCTGTGTCTTCCTTTGAGAGAGACATTTACAACTCATCCTCAGTGCAACTAAGCTCACACCCTGAGGCTTTAGGGGACGTGCACCTTGGGTAGGAGTCCTCAGCTCAGTACAGTGGTGGAGTGAGGCGGACAGGGTAAAAAAGAGGGCATGCTGGTGGCCTTGTGTCTGCCAGGAGTTCCTGATCTACTGGCTGAGCCATGGTGTGTGAGTCACTGGATTGGGCACTGGGTGGTCCCAGCTGGTCAAGGCAGGAAGATTAAGATCTGTGGTTGATTTATGTAGATGAATTCACTTACACAACCTGAACCACTGGTTGTCTTCTAGCTCCTGGATCCAGCTTTGAAATCATAGAGGGTCCCAAGAACCTCACAGTCTTACAGGGCTCAGAGGCCCGCTTCAACTGCACTGTCTCCCCGGGCTGGAGGCTCATCATGTGGGCGCTCAACAACACGGTGGTCCTGAGCCTTACGCCCTCCGAGCCCATCATCACCAGTGACCGCTTCACTTCCTCCAGCTACCAAGTGGATGGCAACTTCGTGTCAGAGATGGTTATCCACAACGTGCAGTTCAATGACTCTGGGCGCATCAGGTGCAGTCTGCAGAACAGCGAGGTGGATGCGACTGCCTTCCTCTCCGTGCAAGGTCTGTGGGCAGGGCCACAGGGAAGCAGAACATCTGCATCCCAGGGTTAAATGGTGGGCGGGGGGAAGGATGGTCCACGTGCAGTCCACACAGATGTACACTGATACGACTTATCACCTGCCTCTCTGCCCCATCCCCTGTTTCTCACACTCCTTCTCTTCCTTGTCCCCGTAGATGCTAGCTTCCAGCTGCCAACAGAATCAATCCCAACAGGCATTTATTGTTTTGCTCTCGGTTTTTCCTCCCTGTCTTTCTCCTCTCTTGTTTCTTCCCCTGTTTCCTTGCATCTTTGCTCCCCTTCCTCCAGCCTTGTTCCCCATGTGAAGGCTCGGGGATGGATCTTCCCCACTCTGTTACTCAACAGCCTTCCTGGAAACTCTGCTGGCTTCTCCAGTCTTGTCACTCCAGAGTTAACAACACTCGCTTTTTCTCTCATCTCTCATATACATTACTTATTTATTTATTTTTGCCCATGCTGTTTATCGACATCAAACCATGCTTTCCTATTTTCTTCTTCTTGGCTGAATTCTCCCAATCCTTTACTCTATCTCACCTCAATTCTGCTTAGTTAATATAGTCAGAATGTGTATTCATGCAATATGCAAAGTCTTTGAGAGAAAAGAAAATAGTAAATCAGATCTGTAACAATGAATAACTTGTCGTTTTAGAGGGATTTCTGAGGTGTTGAATATCATGGCACATGCTGAAAAACAGTAGAGGTGTTTTCTAAAATCTAGAATAGTCTAATCACAATTTAATCGCTTGATATTCCATAAAGGGTGTTGATACATGATTTGCAGGTGCCTTGGGACCAGTACAATTTCTGATTTCTACACCAAAAACTTTTTATATGAGAGGCCATATCTTTGAACTAATTCCTCATGTCCACCTGTTTACTTGAGGAATTCCCCAAGATTCTACCTATTTTCTTGTTACTATCAAATCAGATTTGATAGCACTGGTAGAGAAACATGCCTACTTATTTATCTTTCCATTTTTTAAAAGGATTTATTTATTTATTTTTATTACAAAGTCAGATATACAGAGAGGAGAGAGACAGAGAGGAAGATCTTCCGTCCGATGATTCACTCCCCAAATGACTGCAATGGCAGGTGTTGCACCTATCCGAAGCTGGGAACCAGGAACTTCTTCCAGGTCTCCCACACGGGTGCAGGGTCCCAAGGCTTTGGGCTGTCCTCGACTGCTTTCCCAGGCCACAGGCAGGGAGCTTGATGGGAAGTGAGGCTGCCAGGAATAGAACAGGCATCCATATGGGATTCTGGCATGTTCAAGGCAAGGACTTTAGCTGCTAGGCCATGCCGCTGGGCCCTCTCTTTCCATTTTTAAAAATAGCTTTCTATATTGGTGTTTTTAATTTTGTGTGATTTAACTAGGGGCACGATGATATTTTTGAAATAAGTGATTTTATGGAGTCACCCACAGCTATTAGATTTATCTGCATAAGACTCTCTTGATGACCATTTCTGGAACAAGGGAAAGAACACAGCACTAAGAATCAAAGAGATGAGTTCTCATGTCCCTGGTTTTCTGCTGAGAGATCCCCAAGGCGGTTTCGCTTCTTCATCTTCAGTGTGGGGAAGAAGCCTCCCACCTCCCACCCCCATGTTTGCTGTGTCAGATTCAGCTAACCAGGCATGGGGTATGGCAGCCGGAGTGGGCTAGTGGTCAGTGGTGCAAAATCAGGAACCTTGTTGCCCACGTTCAAGCCCCAAATGTTGTGAATCTAGACCTATGGTCTTAGGCCCTAGTTCCGTCACTGCTGGGGCTCGAAGAAGTGGCTCTGTGAAAACATCGAGCACAACAGCCGGCTCACAGCAATTCTGGTACAGCCCTTACTACCATTTACTGTCGCCCTGTAAAGCCCCTCGCTGTGTTAAGCAGCTGAGTGTGACTTCAGGAGGAACAGCTGGGATGCATTCCTGCCCTCTAGGACCTCCTAGCAAGTGCGGCTGCTCCAAGTTGTGCCAGTAGCAGGGGTGCAGCACACTGCCTGTGAAGTGTAATGGAAGAGAGGCAGTCCCAGATTCAGATTGGGAAGGGAGGTGAAATAGTTGACCAACATTTCCCAGATGACTCCAGGGAGAGAGTGTTGATGTTGAACATGGACCCGAGATGTCGGGAGATGGTCGTAGGAGATGAGGAAGGCACTCCTAGGCTGGGCAAACGCAGGACCAATGGCCTGGCTTGTTAAGCCTAGGCATACAGAGCACCCACTTAACCAGTCCACATAGTTTTACAGCATCTTCTGATGTGATCAAGCCCTAAGTTTGTCTTGGATTTTTATCTAAGAGTCACTAGTGCAGGTTCTGATTTTAACACCGATGGAAAAGTGAGTTTCTGAGAAAGTTAAAGACTTCTTTAAGGTCGTGTGGAAGAAACCCAGGGAGCCTGAAAGGAAATTGGTCATTGACCCTGGTGCCACATAGCTCAATGGTACTTTGTTCTCTGAATAACAAGGGAACAGGAACTTTGAGGGAGGAGGAAGCAGCCATGAATTCCTTTGTGATGGCTTCTTCCTCCTTATGATTAATAATAAGAAGAAAGAGAGCTGGCAAAATTCCTGACTGAGTCCTCCAAAATCTGTGTTATATTCCAGTCATTGTATGCAAATTGTTGGCTGAGTTCCTGGCTAAAGTTTGCAAAACTAATGGGGGAAAGTTGAGTCCCTGTTGTACAGAGAGGAAAAAAAATGTTTTCAAATTATTGTGTTTGTTAGTTTATTTGGAACTTAAAAAATGTATTTATGAATATGGAAGTCAGAGTTACATGGAGAGAAGAGACAGTGAGAGATCCTCCGTTGTCTGGTTCACTTCCCAAATGGCCAACATGGCTGGGGCTGGGCCAGGCTGAAACCAGGAGCCAGGAGCTTTTGTATTATAGATCTCTCATTCTAGTGGCTTAAGCACTTGTGCCATCTTCTGCTGCTTTTCCCAGCCCACACTGGATTGGAAATGGAGCAACCTGGATTTGAACTAACACCCAGATGGGATGCTGGTATGCAGCAGGTGGTCTTACCCATTATACCACAATGCTGGCCTCTGTCCACTTTTTAAAAAAAGATTTATTCATTTGGAATAGTAGCGAGAGAGAGAGAGAGTCTTACACACTCTGGTGCACTCCCCCACTCCCCAGATGGCCAGAACAGCTAGGTCTTCTGAGGCCAAAGCCTAAGAATTCCATCTGGGCTTGTCACATGTGTCACATGTCCGGGTACTTGGCCTTTCCCAGGTGTGTTGGAAGGGAGGTGGTTTGGAAGCAGAGTAGCCAAGAGTTGAACTGGAGCTTCAATATAGGATGTTGGCATTACAGGCAACGGCTCAACCTAATTTGCAAGAATATTAGTATATGTATTAGTACATTTACTGCCCAACCCATCAGTTACACATCAAACTTTGAATCTCTTGTGTGTTCAGGACCACAAGAACTTTAGTTCAAGGTCTTCTGTTACAACACAGTACCATTCCTCCAGACTCCATCCTCATGGGCCATGTCTCCACCAAACTCAACAAAACAGCAAAAGAAAGTCCCAAGGCAGAGTCCCCAGCCTTGAGGCAAACTTTGCCCCTGCCACACCCCTGCACATTTCTGCAGGTACAGTGGTTCTGAGCCAGCAGATATCTAAGCTGTTCCAAGGGAATGTGAGAGAATGGGACTATTGGAAACAGAGCAGTGCAGAGTATAGAGGTCTTGCAGTGCAATTTGGGGAGTCTGAGGTGGACCCTCAAGTTCTCTCAAGGTCATGGCTATTCTCATAACCTTGGAATGATGGTCGGTTTATTCATTCTCTTTCTCATGAGTGTAGGGCTGTGGGGAGGTTTCCATTGGACGTTGAGAAGCTGCCTTGCTCTGTGGGCCAACATTTCCAAATAGCCAAAGTATAATGCTATAGAATTTTGCAAGGCTAAAAATCCATAGGGCTGTGTGTTCTTAATGTGATGGAGAGTGTACAATGCTTGGTGTATTGGCACAGTCCCTGGCACAGATAATACTTCAGAAAGTTACTGTTCACGGAGTTTCAATGCAGTATCGAAGGTTATGCATGAATAGCCAACAGGATATCACTTAACTCCTCTGCGATTCCAACTACATTTCTGGGTGAAGTCATGTTTATTCACATCCTTCATGCAAATCAATATATTGCAACAAATTAAATGGAGAGACGTGAGAATACAGCCAGAGACTGGCAAGATCTGAAAGAGTTACTCTTCTGACTCAGTTTTGGGAAAGTTCCAAATATAATAATTTTTCAGATAAATTTTAATCTGTATCAACATATTCTGAGTTATTGTTACTTTGAAATGTTTCTTAAAAAATGAATATTTAGTGTTCTTGTCAAATTGGTTTAATACTGCCAGGTACAAACTACATCTTTGACAGGTCTTTGGAGTCCTGTATCATTTTAAAGAGGGAGGGGGTGCAGTGGCACCTTAGCATAGTGTGTTAAGTCTCTGCCTTCAGCATGGGCATCCCATGTAAGCACCAGTTCTAGTCCCTGCTGCTCCACTTCCCATCCAGCTCCCTGCTTGTGGCCTGGGAAAGCAGTGGAAGACGGCCCAAAGCCTTGGGACCCTGCACCTGCGTGGGAGACCCGGAAGAAGCTCCTGGCTCCTGGCATTGGATTGGCTCAGCTCTAGCCATCACAGTCATTTGGGGAGTGGGCCAGTAGACAGAAGACCTTTCTCTCTCTCTCTCTGTGTCTGTCTCTCTCTGTCTCTCCTTTTCTCTGTAAACCTGCCTTTCAAACAAAAATTGAAAAAAAAATTTAAAAGAGAAGACTACAGAGAGGGCTGAAACCCAGACAGCTTCGACTGCCGCTGGGTCAGACGAGCCTTTCAGGCGCGGAAAGCAGGTGTCCCTGATGAGGGCAGTTCTAGTTCAGATCCAGAGTTGACAACACATTCTTCTTTTTTAAATTCTTAACACAGTGTTCTTTCCATTGTGTTGGGCAGAGTCAGTTTTCAGCATGTTTTAATTTGAATTTCAGTGTCTACACATTTCCTGAAGGCTGTGTCTGTATCGGAGGGTCAGTCCTCAAGTTATTTTTAGTCATCTTGGCAAGAGCAGGCCTTATTTTTATATGAATTATACAGTGTGATCAGTGTGATGACGAAGTAGGGCAGTAGTCTTAATAGAATTTAATAATCACATGTTGGAGAAAGCTCTGAGTGTAACATTATTTGAAGTAGATATTTCTCTCGTTGCATTGGATTTGGTTTTTATTCAATTTGTAATAAAAAACCTATTTGGAGGCAATATCAAAGAAAGTGATGTGCTTAAAAATGGTGATGTGGGAGGTACGGTCATCTCTTGGAACGCTTCTCTCTTCTTCTTTAGCCATGGGAGACTTGTACATTCCCGGAGGTAGCCTGAGCGCCGTAGAGGACGAGCCTTGTAATGTCACTTGTCGCGCCACGGGCTGGACCCAGCTCCCTGTTATTTCCTGGGAGATCGGTGTCCCCGTGAGCCATTCCAGCTACTTTTCCACTCTGGAGCCTGGGGACTTTCCAAGCGCCGTGAGCATCCTGACTCTCACGCCACAGGGCAACGGCATGCTCACCTGTGTGGCTACCATGAGCAGTCTGCAGGTCAGCAAGTCTGTGACCGTGAACCTCACCGTGGTCCAGCCCCCTCTGGGTAAGTGAAGATCCCTGCGTCCAGCCTGGAAGGGTGATTCCGTTTGTGGTGTCTCGGGCAGTGCTCAGATGGGGCTGGGGCTTGGAACATTTCTGGTGTTTGGATTTCTAGTTGAGAAGTGGTCAATCTGTACCCAGTTTATAGACAGTTTAACTTGACTAGGTGGCATGGGTTGAGCTAGCTCTCCCAATAGGATGTTTACCAGGAGCTCCTTGGCATGCACAGAAGCTCAGCCATGTGCCTAAGGAGTTCATGGAGCCCCATAGAGCACACGATCTCTGAGTCAGCATGGACGAGTGGAGGGAGGAGGGAGGCTGGAGGTCTAGGTGGAAGCCCAGGAAGTGCTGGGTGGGGGGTCTTTTTCAGAGGATGCAAGCGTGCCAGGCAGAACTGGGCACAGAGGATAAGAACTTTTGGCTTGGTTCAGGAGAGGCAAAGCTACAACCCAAGCAGAATGAACAATAATAACAATAAAAAAGCAATGTCATACAGCCCTTGCAAGGAAACGGCACTGTTGTGAGGGCTCCTCAGAGATTCACCAAATGACTCTGCGGTAGCCCCACACATGGATGCCACAGGAGTGAGGTGACAAGGACAGTGCTGTTGGCTCAGGCCCATGTCTGTGGCAGGTCAGTGGGCACAGGCTGCCTGTGTCCGGGATCTGATCCTCACCACTTGGCCCAGAGTTGTGGAATTAGCCTGGGGCAGGCTATGAGGGCCTTCCAGGACTGCGGTGACACCACGCTGCAGGCTGGTGGCTTAGTTGCAGGAGTCACCTGCTCTGAGTTCTGGAGACCGAGTCTGTAGCAAGGCATCGGTGGGGGTGGCTGCACCACGGGGCTGTGAGCGAGACAGAGCCTACTGCATGCCTTTCCGCCTTGTTTCTGCAGCTGCTGGCTGTCGTGGTTGCTGCTTGGCTTGGAGCAGTGTCACCTGGTCTTTCCTTTTGCCCCCACCACCGCTTCTTGCTGTGTGCCTGTCTCCATCCAGATCTCTTTGCTGTCATGGAAAGACATCAGCCTCAGTGGACTGGGGAGAGCCACAGCCCTCCAGTATGGCGCTGTCTTAACTTGCTATACAAGTCGTCATTGAAAATTTCACAGAAATGCCTGTTAATGATATAAATGGCATGGATTTCTGAATTTCCTGCACCCAGAGCAACTTAGCCTTTAGTTCCATTGTCCATGAGCTTGTCAGAGAGCTCGTGTACCTGTAGCTGATCTATTTCCAGAGAATGAGATGCACTGAGGTATTGGGGGTGAGGACTTAACTATGGAAACTTTAGGGTGACATAGGGGTGTCTCGGAGAATCTAAGCCAGGGCGTTGCGAGCCTGAGGGCTTACAGTTCTGTACTTTACACTGCACAGAAGGGTCTGCATGCTGTGTCAGATGTCCTGGGACTGAGCAGGTAACAGAAATGTGTGTGTGAGTAGATGCGTGACTTAGAAAGAAGCTGGGGAGTCTTCGGCACAGAACAGGAGCAGCTCCCATGATGCCGGCTTGCTCCTTGTAGCCAAGAGCAATGTAGATCCAGCAACACCAGATTTTCCAGTTTTTCCACAGAGGCTGGAAATGGGAATTGTATGTAAATTTCCCTGGCTTATATTTAACTTTTTTAATGTTTAGAATTTTTTTGTATGTTTAAAATATTTATTTTGAAATTTAGAGTGACACACACACACACAGATTTTATGTCTGCTGCTTCACTTCCCCAATGGATGCGACAGTCAAGGCTGGGTCAGGTGGCAGCCAGGAGCCTGGATTCCATGCTGATCTCCCAAGTTGGGGGCAGGACTCAAGGACGAGAACGTTTGGCTGCTGCTCCTCATGTGCATTAGCAAGGAGATGGATCAGAAGCGCAGAGTGTCAGGGCCGGGATCCTACGCACTGATGTGGAGCATGGGTGTCCCAAGCAGCTCCTTAACCAGCTGGATCATATCACCTGCCACTCTCCCCCCGCACACCGCCACTAAATTTTAGATGCTGGCAGCTAACCAAGATGTTTTGTAAACCAACCAAAAATCCAAATGGGACTCACTTACCAATCCATGCTGGAGAGACTGAAAAAGGTCCCAACCCACTCAGCTGCAGGTGAGTGGTTGTGCAGCATCCCTTTGGTCTTCAAGAGAAATAACCAGCTGTGTGCTTTCCTAAATTCCAAGGGGGCAAAAGCCAACTATAAGGGTCTCACCTCTCCCTCCCCACCCCTCATCTAGAAGGTTCTGGAATAATAAAGAGGACCTCAATGGGGCTACTGTTTCCTCTGCTTGCTTCTCACGGACAGGTTTGGGTCTCTGTGCCTGCAGTGACCCGTGGACACCTGTTTCACGATCCTGAGTTCTGACTGTGGTGGAAACCAATGCTCTCACTCGGTCCTGCTTCGATTTTGAGTTAAAGCGAGTTTACTTATTGAATCCAATAGTATTTGGTTTATTCCCTACTAGGGGAGGCCAGCATTCAAACTTAGCAGCTTGCCTTTCCTTCTTTGCCTCATTATTCTGAATAATTAAAAACCTTTAGAAAAATTGCAACAACAGTTGTTCTTCACTAGTCATGTCGAAAGCTCGCACTTGGTCGTGCTTGCCTCTGTCTCATTCTCTCTGCTTTGAGCTCGCTGGATCAAGTGTGAGTTCAGTGGAGACTTCCTAAGACTCGACTTATATCTACTTCAGCCTATGTACCCTAAGAACAAGGCTGTTCTATATAACCCACAGAGGGTTGGGGATCAGAAGCTGTGCCTTTGACCCAACAATCCTGGTGCATCAATGCAGCCCATGTCCTGAGAAAGGCTGGTCACTGCCTGTGGCTGTCAGGTCTCTAAATGCCAGTCAGCTCCCCTGTGTTTGCTGATAGAAGCATGTTTGAAGGGTTTGGATTTGAGTGAACTGCACTGTGATTCAGATTGAACATGTTTGAGAAGGTAGAGATTACGTCGGGTAGCGTGAGGTTTCCTTCACCTCTGGTGATAAACACTTGGACACCTGGTTAAGGTGTTGTCTTCAACTCCTCCCTGTGCCTGAGTAAGTGATAATATCCATCCATGGGGCCTGGGGAATATCCCATTTCCTACAACCCTTCTCCTAATAGCTTTTGCATTCATTGATGTTGTGGCCTGAATCAGTGATTTTTGAGGATTGTCAAAGACTTGTTTCCTGAATCTACCATTCTTTCCAGATTCAGTAGCTGGCATTTCATTCTGTAAGGAAGAGACTTCCTTCTCCCTTCCTCTCCTCTCATCTCCCCTTCTCCCCTCTCTTTTTCCCTCCCCTTTCTTCTCTTTCTTCTCTTTCTTCTCCTCCCTCCCTCCCTCCCTCCCTCCCTTCCTTGCCTGCTTCCTTCCTTCCTTCCTCCTTCTCCCTCTTTCTCTCCCCTTTTCTCTCCCTCTCCCTCTCCCACTCTCTCATCCTCCTTTTCTCATGTTCTGGATTGTCCACTTCCTATTTAAAGTTCTATGGTGGATTCCTTTAGGTTCCATGCACGGTCACCCATGCTCGTCAGTCTGTTTCATGCTCAGCTTGGCCAAGATCTGGCAGGTGGTATTCCCTTCAGAGCTGGCTTTGGGTGTCCTTTGGGTCATACCCTTGAGCTCTTGGCCCAAGAAGATATTCCAAACTCATTTTGTCTATCCCTGTCCCAGCCAAGAAGTGGCATCCAGAAGTGATCTTGCAAAGTTTCTCCATGGAGGGAAGCAGGGGAAGGTACTTAACTCCCTAATCAGGTTTGACTAGACCCAGGGACTGACTGCAACCAGGGAGACAGGAGGCCTGGAGAGGCAAGCCCAGCAGGTGCAGCTGTCAGTCTAACTTTCTTAGGCTCATTTGGGAAAGGGCAATTTGCTTCTCAATTATTCATCAAGACCAGAGCAGCAGGCAGTCGCTTGCATGCTGTGTGCTTTGTGCAGGCTGGCTCAGCTGAGAGCCCCACTTCTTGGCTGGCCTGGTGGGCTGAGGAGCTGGTACCTGGGAGTGTAAGCTGGGAGGCCTGATTCTCAGAAAGCCCTCACTTAATGAGACTGACGCTGACAGAGCTGCTGCAGCAGACACAGGCCCCAGGAGTGGATTCCTGCAAGGGCAAGAAATATGTTTTAATTTCTGGAAAGTTCCTTTTGAGCCGTGGATTAAGGAATGAAATCATCAGCACAGGAGCCTAGCTGAGTTAGGGTATCAGCCCTGGGGGGTGCACATTGGTTTGTTGGCCAAAAGCTTCCTCAAAGAAACACAGGGAAAGGGCGAGTGCTTTTTTGCTCCTTGGCAAAAACAAGACAAAACAAAACAAAATAAAACAACAACAACAAAAAACAAAAATGAAGTTTTTTCTCTATCCCTGAACCAGACCCAACCTAGGCACTGCAGACATGCACCGATAAAGACAGTCAGGGGTCCTCTCTGCCCCAACTTGGGCCAGGCATCCTTGGTGCTGGCCCTGCCCTGCTGCCTTGTCTCTGCTCTGTCCTTCCTCATGTTGGACAAGGACCACGGTGTCGTCTGTTTCCAGGGCGCATGTGCGCACCTCACAGGTCTGGTGCCTCAGTGGCGTGGGCTCAAAGTGGAAGCAGTGACAGCCCTGGGGCCTTCATGCTGGCAGTGATGGGGACTTTCAGGGCAGGAGAGAGCTAGAACCATCTCCCAGAGATGCTCAGTCACAGAGGTCCCTGAGCAAGGCGCTCCCAGAGCTGCTGCTTCTTGCTGCTTCCTTTTCTTCTATCTATCTATCTATCTATCTATCTATCTATCTATCTATCTATCTATCATCTATCTTTCTATCTAGCTTGTATTTGTAAGAGATGGTGAGACAGTACAGAGAGAGACAGGGAGACATATTCTATCCACTGGTTGTCCTCCAACTGTATGCCACAAGCTGGGCCAGCCTGAAGCTGGGAACGCAGTCCGGGTCTCCCATGTTGGGTGGTGGAGACCCAACTGCTTGAGCCCTCCTGTAGCCTTTTATGCTGTGCAGCAGCAGGAAGCTGGAATTGGGGCGGATCTGGAATGCAAACCCC